GTTATCAGTATGTTGATGACACCCAAATACATTTCTCCATGCCTTCAAAACCAGCTTCAGCTAAGGATAGTGTGTCTCCTCTGAATGAATGCCTGGAGGAGGAATTTAGCTGAATGAAGAAAAACCAACTGAAGCTGAATACAGACTAGACACAGTGATTACCATCAAGGGTCCTAAACTGCGGGTGGATGTATGTCAACCAGTTTGGGATAGGGTTACACTCCCCCTGAAAGACTATTTATGCCAGCTGCAGCACTTTCTAGAAATGGAGGACCTAAAGATGGTAGTGCATGTGCTGGTAACCTCAAAATTAGACTTCTACAATGCACTTTACATTGAGTTACCTTTGTACCAAGTTCCAAAACTCCAGTTGGTTCAACATATGGCAGGCAGATTAGTTACAGGAACATTGAGGAGTGAGAATATTACATCCATAATGAAGTCACTCTACTGGCTGCTAATGAGTTTCCAGAAAAAGTACAAAGTGTTGGTTTTAAAGCTCTATATGGTTTGGGTCCAGGTTTCCTAGAGCAGTGGTTCTCAACCTGTGCGTCCCCAAGTGTTTTGGCCTACAACTCCCAGATAGTCCAGCCAGTTTACCAGCTATTAGGATTTCCGGAGGATCGCCTTCTCCCACACAATCCACCCCTTAGGACACTTAGGTCCTCTGGTGGATGCTTAGTCCAGCTTGCCAGAACGCAACTGGCAGCCATCACCCAGAGGACGTTTTCATCAGCCACCTTGGGAAGACTGTGAAATGACCTGTCGGAAGGGATCTGACAGCTAAGTGAGCTGTTGGAATATTTTTAAAAATCTGAAGACCTATCTTTTCCAGCAGGCCAACCCCATCAGTTTTAACTATGAATGTCTTTTGTTGACTCTATTTCTTTGCTCTGTGTATTTTAATGTATGTATTTTGTAGAATTACATTTAATATGTGTTTTTTAGATAATTTTTATGATGATTATGAATGTTTCGCTATGTTGTAACCAGCTACGAGGAGAGGCAAGTTCTTATTTACAATAAACAAAAAGGTGAACTAGGTCTACTAGGTCTACTAGACCTGAAACTGTATTTTGAAGTATCTGTGATTTTGTGGATTTTGTGAATGATGCTATAAGATGAGAGAATGTTGAATATAGAAGGTTATGATTTACCGTTTGAATGGCATGCATATATTTGGTATGACAAATCTAAAAAAAACAAGAGCTTCACAAATAGTAGTATAAAAACTTGAGAATTTGGTTAAAGCATAAATTGAAATTTGGACATAAGACTCTATTCTGCATTTCACCACATGAAGCTTTCTGGGTGATAAAGAAAGAAGACAAAAAGGAGTGGATACGATACAAGACGATACTCAAGTTCATAAATAATCAACCTATGCTAAAATCAAGAGAAGAACTGAAGCAAGAAGGGTTAAATATTGGATAGTTCACTTATGAGCAAATTAAACAAAAATTACACAAGATCTTCAATGTGACTTCGGGAAAAAAATGACCAAGTTGGAAAAATATTATGGCCAGAAATAAATAAACATATTAGAGGGATTTATCAATTTTTATTGAAATATGAGAGAAGTGAAGAACAAGTAAAAGTCTCTATGGTAAATTGGGCAAAAGACAAGGGTCATGAAATAAATATGAACGTATGGGAAGGAATGTGGAACAAAGGCCTTAAATTTACAAAAGCAAACAAATTGAAAGAAAACTTTTATAAAAGGTTTCACAGATGGTCCATCAGTCCAGTAAAACTTGCCAAAGTGAATAAAAATGAAATAATGGATAATAAATGATGGAAATGTAAGATAAAAGAGGGACTTTTTCCACATATGGTGGACCTGTCATAAAGTTGATGCATATTAGACAGCTGTTAAAGAAACAATCCAAAGAACTTTACAACAAAATATACTGTTTTTACCAAAAATATGATATCATCAGAAAGAAAAATATTGTTTTCATTCAAAATGCTGTAACAAATAGTTTATACCAGACACTGGAAAGAAAGCATTATTTTATCGGTAAATGAATGGTTGACCAAACTGCTAAACTTTGCAGAATTTGATAAATTAACTTGTCTTCTTAAAAATAAAACAATGCAATGTTTTCAAACTAATTGGAAGCCTTTCACAGAATATATAGGTAGAACATTTAAAGGCTGGTCCATAATAGCATTGAGTGGTTAAAAATACAAGAGCTGAATAGGAATCCTCCAACATCAGCTTCTGACCCCAGCTCTTGAGAAAGGAAAAGACCCATTATAAGACAGTGCCTCCAAGCCCTATACTCGAGAGGAAGATCAGAACAGCATCATGACTGATAGTATTGAAAGATCATGCGATATCTAGCAAAAGTGTAGCAATACACTCTCCCTGTCCAGTTTCAAGCATACATCATCCACCAACCTGACGAATGCTATCTCTTTCCAATAACAAGGTCTGAAACCATTTTGAAATTTAGGGAATCCATCTCATCCAAAAACACTAAGACCTCAGATACACTGCACACTCTTATGTTTTCACTAGAAATTATGTATTAGATATATTGTTTACACATTTGAAGAAATCCAAGGAAGACTTTTTTTTAGCAGAAATGTTATAACTATCTCCTTTACACATGATGGTACCTTGTTTTGCTGTAAGGAGGCATTTATCACTCCATTTACCTGCTTAGTCTGTCCACTCTTGTTAACAATCCAGGAAGGACAGTATCTAGCACATATGTAGTCATCTTTGCCTCTCCAAGGAGCCAGTCTATATCCTTGTGGTTGCCGAATTGAAAAATATCTACTAACAGTTGGCAAGCAGAGACCAAATTTCTATACACTGGACTTGTAATTATACCATCCAAGTCAGAATGGACCCAAGCAATTTCATCAGCAAAGCATTTAGGAAAATTGTTTGTTGAGTGGTCTGAATTCTCATTTCATGGGCCAGGTTTTAAGAGATCCCTAACCATTTAAAACACATTTCCTGGACAGCTCCTTTCAGATGCAACGGAGCAAAGAAAAATATTGCTGCCCACACTGTCACTGGCATTCAAATACACTCTAGGCATTCAAATATACTATGGTTTCTGTTTCAGACTTGCTCTGTTTTCTGCCAATTTGACTTTACCCACATTGCTGCTATTTCCCTGGCATTGGGGAGTGACCCATGTCCACTGCCATTTCCCCATTTCAAGAATCAGCCAGGCTTTAACAAAATCAACTGATGCTGATTCAGGAAAATGCCTCCAAACCTCAGAAAACCATCCAGACCTATCCACCTCCTGAGCTGGACCATTCTAACTGATCTACCACTGCTGCAGGAGCTCCAAATCCATGTGGGGAGCCACAGGTATCTATTGCTTTAAATCCTTAAAATGAAATGCCCATCTCATTGGGCACTGTGGTATGAAGGATAAATTATCTTAATATTTCGCTCCTCGTAACTGGTTACAACATAGCAAAACATGCATAATCATCATAAAAATTTAGGCTCTCATTCCTTTTCTTCAAAATTAAAAGATGCCCATATCCAGCAGAATCTATCTCTTTGAAGATCTTTTTAAACAATCTCTTGATTTTACTATCTTGTAAGGAAATTAAATAAATTGCTTATTGCTTATCCCCCAATCGGGTTCAACAAGTATATTTTCTATATTTTCTACATTCCAACTTATTTGAGGTTACAAATCTAGGCACATTTACTGGAAGTTGGATTTACTTTAAAAGAAACATGCAGGGTTCAGGATTTTAGACAAATGTTCTTACTCGTACTACAACTTTTCTCCTGTATAAAAAATATTTTAAGTTAACTGTAGTTCATGCTGCTAGTAATAAAAGCAACACTATCAATTAGTGCACTACAGGTGGGTATCAGGTGGTTTCACTGTATGTACTGCACTGTGGGTGGTTTCACAGTCACAACCTTAGTCCTGTATTTCTTCCAAAAGAGTGTGGTCACGGATAGAATCAAACTCAGCCAAGCAAATATTTTAAATAAGAGCTGTCAACTATGTTTGTGGATTTATCAAAAAAGATGCTGTCCCAGTTCTCTCTCCTAGTCATAAAATACCCATTATTTTAAGCAGCATGTTTTGACTGTACCAATTGCCAAATTCTTTCTGAATATGTATTTAAAATATTAAACCATAACAGAAATATTCAGATACCTTAAGAGAAGGAATCCTAACAAAATGAAGTACACCAATAGCACGAAAGCCTGGAGAACAGTTTGTACTCAATAAAAACTATTTGTATTAGTCAAGTAGTTTTTCCATCAGTCTCATCCATAAATGTTTACTCTAAACACCCTCAAACTTTTTAATACATAGAAGTATTTATCACTTCTAGAAATACTCCCACATTGAAAAAGATGAATTTCAATTAATTAAGAGTTACTACGTCGTTAAATCTTAACTTTATTTAATACCAATAATAACTTAAATTTGGCAGGAGGACAAACAGTTTAATCTCCAATATTTGTAATGTCACTTGCTCCTCCCAGCACACTATTCATCCCAATTACTCAATAGCAACCTAGCATGACATAGCCATCCATTCTAGTTGTACTGAGGACACAGTGCTACTCCAAGGTTTCAAATTGCACTGTGCAGGCACAGGAAACTAATTGGTGAGACCATGGAAAAGAACCAAGGTTGGTTTGATACATTTTCTCAGAGAATGTTTCTAACACCATCAGTCTTTGGAGTAACCATGCCTTGCTGGAGACATAAATGGGGGGGGGGGGGGGGGGGGGGAGAGAAGGTTCTCCATATCTCCAGCTCTCAGATCTGGAGGCAAGCAGAAAATTATTTCCCCAAGATGACAGGCCATACCAAGAAGTTCTTTGCAGAGAGCTGGTGTGGCTCTTCAAGATCTTGGTCATGTTGAATGGTAATCTGTAAAAGTTCCTGAACTGGAAACTCATATGACTATATATGCTACATGGTCAGAATTCAATTTGGTACATTAAAATATAACTTCCAATATCTGATAAGGAAAAAATAAAAACATACCAGATATGTAAGAGCGTCCATTGCAGTCCTCTATATCCATCTTTAAGACACCCTGCTGAAGAAAAAAAATAGACAGATGCCTATGATGAGTATAAATATAAACTAAAATAAAAGCCTTTATGCAGCTCCCCCCCAATCTCTACATGATGGAGCAATATTGTCCTAATGATTCAGAATAAGCTAAACTATTTCAATGGATCCTGTGGCATCTGAAAGACTAATACAGTTGCTAATGCAATGGATACTGGCAGTACTTTGTATTCCTATTGTCTATCATCTTATTTCCCATCCTGCTCCCTGTATATATACCTGACATTTTAAACAGTGTTTCATGCCTTTGTCAAGTAGGTTACAATCTGTGTGGATTCATGTTGTAAGACAGAGCCCCCGATGGCACAATGGGTTAAACCCTTGTGGTGGGAGGACTGCTGACTGACAGGTCAGTGTTTCGAATCTGGGGAGAGTGGGTTGAGCTCCCTCTGTCAGCTCCAGCTCCCCATGCGGTGACATGAGAGAAGCCTCTCACAAGGATGGTAAAATATCAAACATCATTCTGGGGATTCCCTGGGCAATGTCCTTGCAGACGGACAGTTCTCTCACACTAGAAGCGACTTGCAGTTTCTCAAGTCGCTCCTGATATGAAAAAAATGTTGTAAGAGGTGTGTTTAATATACCACAAGACTCTTTTCTGATTTTAATATTAACACATTATTTTCCTTTGAAAATTAAATAATTTCACATGTACTAGCATTTTCACAAACAAAGTCACACATTCAGTTCAATTGTGGATGCTACCAGGGACCTAGGTTTGACAAAAATAGGGAAACAGTATTTTAAAACTAAATTTCTATGCAATAACATTCTGGATTAAGGCCAAATGGTAATCTGGGAGTGGAATTCTCCTGAACTGTATTTTGGTAACACAAGAAATGAACAGCTACTTTTGACATATATACATACTTACTGTATTGGAAATAAAAAGCTCAACATATATTTTTGGCTAGAAACTTTCAAACAATGAGAACAACAACATTTAAGCATTTCTTTTTCTGTCCCTGTGTTCAGCTGCCCTCTATACAAGGAGGAAGGCTGTCAAGTGCTGTTAGTTCACAAAACAGAAGCTAAACACTGCTTCAAGAGGTTACAAAGATGGAGCAGCTGTCAGTCTTACATCTGATGAGGCAAGAGCAGATTCATTCTTCACTAGTCTAGAACACAAGTGGCCACAGGCCACTGCTAATTTTGAATCCTTTCACGACAAGGTACAGTAACACTTGTCCAGTGCAATTCAATTTCAGCAAAATGGACTCTTTGCTGTCATCCACTCTTTGAATCGAATCTGAATTAAAAATGATACTACTATACAGAAGGTACCCCATGCAGGTAATACTGAGTTCCAAATGCAAGATAGCAGTTTTCTTTGATTGGTGAAAATGAATAGTTTTTCAGCCATGAGACTGAAAACTAACACACTGCATCACTGAACAGGCCTGGAAACAGGCATTTTCAACAGTCATGCTAGAATAACAGTGGGACATGCTGTATACATACAGCTAATTAGCACCCCGTGGAGTTAATGAACACCTTGTACATTCAAATGCCTTTCCCTACACCCCAATTACACATTATTTACAAAAATGAGGTAAAACAATGATAAGTTCACCATTTTGAAACAAGAAGCCTGCCTGTAACCTCAGAAATGAGAATTCACTTGTAAAAACAAACAGGAGCAATGATTTCTTGATCTAAATTAGATTTTAAGTCAAAATATAGATGCAGTTTGCAGCTCACAAAGGAAATAATATTTATCCCTACTTTTATGATGATCACAATATACATTGATTAATAATAGCAATAATTACTTGCATACAAATTATTTAAAAGATAGGGAGAAATATTGATGATATGTCTAAAGAAATCTGAGGCACTGGTTCATGACAGAGCAGCTTTCTAAAAAGGAAGACAATGCAGTCCATTCTCCATGGCAATAGAAGGACAAAGGAGCATGGTCTTCCATTACAACACCTTTAAACAATGAGAATAATCTCTCAGCATAAAGGAACATGCAGGCATGAGACCAAGTTATGGAATAAATTAATGAATGGTTTGCTAAAGTAAGCCCTTCTAATTTAAGAGAGGAAAAGGTGTATATGGGTAAGCTAAGGTCTCATGTCTGGGAAGACATATACTAATATAAGCATAATAGAGATTCAGCATCACATGGCACATTAGCATAATGTAAAGGTATAAAAGGAAATAAAAGTAGAAAATACAAATATTTTTAGAAAGTGGAATTGATTTCATTCAATTGCTATCATGATCAAGAGACTGACTAAAAATAGAACCAAACGAGCACTTGCTACATGATGACTACTTTAGAAATTTATCATGCTTAATTGCAAGGCAAGTCAATGTGCAAGGATACACCAAGCACTGGCAACTATCTACAGCTCCATTTTAGTTTTTGTTCCCACATATTTCCATTTATGAAGTTTTATATTAGCCAGTATGGAGTAAGCGATCCCACTCAAAAATTAGCAAAAGATGACCTTCCCTTTCATAGAAACCCAACTTTCATATTCAGAACCAGCAAAGTAAGCAACTGAATACATGTATTTTTCAACATTCAGTGAAATTTATGTGTGTATATGATGTTCACATACTGAAAAGATGAGGAAAATCACTCTGTACTGTCTATATACAGGTTCTAGACCCTAATAGCCTCAAAAGCACTTAAATAATACATTATCAGCAATGCTACTTTCATTACCAAGATTCTTCTATGTTTGCTCACAGGAAAGTCACATTCAATAAAGGACCTTTCCAAAGTTAATTAAAAGCTTTTTTGGTTGCAGATTCTTTCCTTGAATTACGTACTTCAGGTAATGTTACAGAGCTTTTTTACTGAGTGGTTTCTCTTGATCACAACCGATAAACAGAAACTTGTAGCCTCTTAATGACCTCTTGAACATTGTTTTACTCTTGTTTTACAATAGCAGTTAAGAAAAATGAGGGAACATATTGTTAACGTTTTTCTTCTCAAAGAAATAGAAACAAATATTTGGAAAATAAGATACTAATGACAAAGCCATTAAAAGGTGATTTATTATTATAAAACAACCAGAACCCCAGCGCAGGAAACCTTTAATAGAGAGAACAGTAGTCCACACAAAAAAAGCTTCAATTTTATTTCAATAATTAATAAACACAACAGGTCTTCCACCCCTTTCTTGAAAAGCACGGAACCTCATCAATATGACAAAGCCACTTGTACAATCTAGAACCAAGATTATTAGTAAAAAAAACTGAGTGAATTCAAGGTGGCAGTTCCACTTAATTTCTTGGTCCACTTTTGAGGCTGGATACATTATACACATTACATTTTGGCAACTATAACCTATAATGAAAATTCACTCTGCCCTGCTTATTGTCCATTTTAGATCTCCTAGCATCCACTGACTTATTCTACTTCCTTGTTAGAAACCGAAAGACTACTATGCTGGCTTTGAAAACAGAACCCCTGAAAACTCAGCTACCTGTGATGGAGATAAACCAGTTAGGGTACCCAAGCAAGATATATATCCAAGGTACAAAAGTAATCAAATACATACCGGTGTACCTGTCCACACATAATTTGTCTGTCTTTGTACATTACTGGTACAAGCAAAAAGCAGAATGTTTCTCTTTATACAATTTTATTGTGTTTATATCTTAGCCATTCTTCCATGATAAGCATATAATATATGCATATTTTCCAGACAGTTTTTCATCTAGGCACAAACCAGACCTATTTAGCTTCTGAGTTTCACTCTTCCAACAATCACTGTAATGCCATAACTGGAAGACTCCACTTAAAAATAAACTTAGTTCTTACCTATTTCACCAAAAGGAAAAAAGGACATTTTGGCACTAGAACACCATGCTAGTGAAATTTTGCAATAATAATGAAGTTAAGAAATATTACATACACCTCTTACACAATACATCCACAGCTCCACAAAATACAAGTTCTGTGGAACACATGCTAGCCCAGTATGAAGTATACATCTGTATCTTGTCTCATGGCAGCTACACAACTGCAAGAGTCAAAATGTTGTATTAACATTCCAGACTAAATGAAAGTACTTTCAGAAAAATCAGTCATTTACCATGGAGAATTTCTCCTGAGCGCCAAACAGTTCTTCGAAGTTAACTGACTTTCCACATTTTTGCCAGCAGAACTTCCAGATCATCAAAGCTGAACATAAAATGTAGTCCATTGTAAAATGACCTCAGAGTATGTTCAAAAGAAAGTTGCAGTGGCAAAGCTAGGTAATTCTTCTCATCATTTCCTTTTTTCTGATCATATACCACTATTGCTATGTAACCCAGGATGGTAGACAGCAAACAAAATAGGTTAGGAAACCCTTCTGAGAAAAAGAAAAATGCTATACTGAACACAGCTCTCCATTTAAGGACCATACTACTAGAAAAATTATCCATAAACAGGCATCAGGTGGGCATTTTAAAGACAAATATTAAAAATGGATTTAGTGCAAGTGGTTACAAGAGCGGGGACAGAAGTATCCAGTAACTGAATAATTGTGTGAATGTGTATTTTTCAACAAGCAGGAAAAAATTCACAAATGTTTTTAATTACTAAAGTTTTTTAAAAAAGGAGATTTGATCATTTTGAGCAGCAGGTTCAAGATACACCTGAAATATAACAAAGACCAGGAACCAAAATGGCTACATTATCAGCAAAACAGAACTTATAAAAATTAATTTTGTCTAAGTGACAAAGGATTCTTGGAGTAAATCAAGCTAAAGACAATATTTTATAGATATCAACATTAGGCTGTTCTTCAATAGCTATTGTGTTTCATAGAAGCCTTTCATGCACAGTAAGATTCCTGTATCCATGGGGGATACGATTCCAGATTACCTGAAACTGTGGATATGACCAAGGCCATTTTAGCATACCACAGCGTCATCATAGGGCCCCTAGAAATTCATAAACAGGTATCCTCCCTAGGAATTTTTTAGGTCCTCTAGGGTGACTCTATGATAATATAA